TGGGGGGGGGTTCCTCCCCCCCCCGCCCCCCGAGGGGGGGGGGGGGGGGGGGGGGGGTACTCAGTCGTGCATGCCGTAGTCGGTAGACCATTGACCTCGCATCCCTACAAAGCCGGGACGGAGCACGCCGGGTTTTCACCGGGCCAAGCTCTCACATCACCAAGCGCGAAGCGTCGTGAGGTATTCGGCGCGTCGCATGAAGGGTGAGCTGCATCCTGCTAAGGGTGTTCGGCATCATGTGCTTACTTCCTTGCGTACGGATGACAGCTGCGTATGACTTAATTTATTATCTGGTGCTTTCACTTCCAGAGACACTTGTAAGCACTGCTGTGTAACTGCCTCGAGGATGCTTGACCATTTTAACACAACGTGGTGCGATCATCCCTCTTGCGCGGAGTGAGGCTTCTCAACCCCGCAAAACATGATCTACTAGACCACCATTATGCTTACCGCAAAAAAAAAAAAGAGGTAAAAAAAAACCGGTAACCTGGTTGCCGAGTTCACGAAGTGAATTGGCTTGTTTTACAACGTCGTTGCCAAGTGACGAAAACCCAACCCCGATGACAAACACCGGGGGGGGGGGTGCTGCGGAAGGGGGCGGATTTAAGCAAATCGCGCGACCTTCTCGTGCGTAACAAGCGACGTCCAATATTTAGGGCATCGGGGCGCAATAGAAAAAGGGGAAGGAGGTGTTGTCGTTTCTTTATCCCCCTTAAGACTCTTCCTCGAAGTCCTTTGACCAAAGTGTTCAAACTAAGCCTCAACACCAGACAGTGTGGATAGGGAAAGCCAAGAAAATCGAGCATCTCGCCGGCCGTTCCACCCACACGACGAACATATTGAATACCCTAGGGCCGGTGTGGGCGCCATGTGCCTTGCACCCTGAGACGACCCAATACAACGAACAGCTCTACCCCCTTGCTCCCTGCCCCGATACTTTGTCTATTGGTTCATGATATGTGTCCCACGCGCGCTATTCGATGCCGTACGGCCGAGAGACAAACTGTCCTCATCGACAAAAAACACAAGAAAAACACAAAAATGCATAGGTTTTATCCACCTCGAGAGTTTCCAGGTGCATCGTGGGTATGCCGAACTTCAACGACCCGGTCTCCCGCACGTAGAACGTGACGCCCTTGAACCAAAGAGTGGGAATCTTGGAAATGAAGTACGCGTTCTTGCTCACCTCAATCGTCTGCGTTGGGTTGTGAGTAGCGAGCAATAGGAGGCAAGCAAGATGGGGCACAGTGGCAAAAGCGACATGGGATCGAGGGAGTGGCGAATGGTTGTGTAGATCTCGTACGTTGTCGTTGTGGTGGTTGTTGTCGTTGCTGTTGTTGTTGTTGTTGTTGTTGATTCGTTGTTGGTGGAGAAGGCGTTGGTGACATGGTCTTGGTATTCAAGTACGGTTGACTTGCCGAACGTGTGTAAGCATTCCAAAACCACATGGGTTTAGTTTGGCGGTTTTGTCCAATCCTGACATGGGAGCGATCGAAAAGGATATCCACAATTCAACAATCCTCGAATTCATTTGCGAAGGGCATGACTAAGAGTACCTCGGCCGAACAAATCTGTCGCTACCAAAACTCCCAAGATAGAGAAGAAAATATCAACTTGTCTATCAACGCACGCGTTCAACACAGGGGCAGTGGAAAAGTGCCACTACCAAACAAGAGCCATGGAAAGAGTGTGTGTGGGAGAGAGAGGGGGGGAGATTTGACATCGCAGCACGAGTTGGTACGCGAACAAACCAATTCGAACAGTAAAGGGTTCAAACTTGAATAGGGGGAGGGGGGGAGGAAGGGAGGGAAGGAGAGAGGAGAGCGCGAGAGAGATGATAACGAGGCACAAGCTTTTTTTTTTCAAAACAAATCAAACTGTCAAGGAGTACCGTACTCACTCGCGCCTCCTGGCAAATGACGTGGTCCGTGACTACAACGATGCCGTACACCGGGGTCCAGCCGGCTGTCAGGTCGTCACACGAGTTCAGGTTCGACGCCACGATGTTGTCAATGTCGTCGATCCGAGGCAGGCCCTGGTTTGTGCCGGCATCGGTGTTGTCCCCTGTGACAGAGGAGGAGGGCTTGTCGGGTGGGTTGGGGAAGCTGTTTAGGGTGTTGATATTGTTGTTGTTGAGGGGCTGCTGCTGCTGCTGCCGCTGCGGCGGCGGCGGCTGCTTTCCCTTGAGGTTGGGGTTGGGGTTGGCGCCACCGTCTTGCGCCATGGTAGACGAGGAAGATGCCGGGGGTGCACTACGTGGGTTGTCTTCTTGGTGCTGCTGGTGTTGCTCAGACGATAGGTTGGAGTTAGTGTCGTCGTCGGGATTGATGCCACTGTCGGGCTCGGTGTGGGAGTTGGCGTCGTTCTTGGCCCAATGCATGGGATAAAGTCGCTCGGCGGAAGGGCGGGATTCTTGCCGCTGCTGCTTCTGCTGCTGCTGCTGCTGCTGCTGCTGCTGCTGCTGCTGCTGCTGCTTAGGGTCGCTTGTAGGGTGTCGCTGAGAGGCATCGGCCGCCTCGACGGCAAGCGCTGGGGTCAGGCGTGCACTCTCGGTTGCGGTGGAAGTAGCGGTGGTTTTCGGGGTACCGTTGGAGGAACCACCGGTGTCGGCATTGCCAGCGGTGCTGTGCTCGTCCCCTGGGGTAGGGGAGGGGCGGATGGCGGGGCGGGTGGGGGGGTTGTTGTTGTCGACGTTCTCGAGGAGCTGAGGGATGGATGCTCTCTGCTGGTCCTCCGGCTGCTGGTCCTCGAACGCATGCACGAATCTCATACCCGAGGCCGTAAAGCTTATCTCGCCATCGACGTCTAACGCTCCCCCCGCCTTAACGAGTACCCGGGAGTGCTTGTCCTCCTTCGTGACGATACGGGGAGAAATGACATGGAGAGATATGAAGAACGAGCAAGAGAACATACAGACAGACAGACAGACAGACAGACAGACAGACAGACAGACAGACAGACAGACAGACAGACAGAGAAGAAGAAATAGGGAGCGTAGAACAAGGGGTTGGCAATGGCCACGCAGTTTCTCGGATAAATCAAGTGCAACACCAGCTGTCGAAACGAGCTTGCCGACCGCATCTGCGTTGAAGCCACGACGTTTCCGTGCACCGGATCCCACCGCGTAACAAGCTTGTTGCGGCTCGAAGAGACGTCATTGAGATGGGGGCAGTGCTTGCCGATATATTGCTGCTGCGACTGCTGTTGACACCTCCAAAAGCATCCCTTCTCCGAAGCGACGTCAGTGACGATGGGGGCAATGCAAGACGTACGTGAAGCGTTGGAGCTGTTTCTCTCGCAAAAGGTTTGTAGAGAGATCAGCATAAACTACGGCATTCTGGAAGGCGGCCATTCTTGAACTCTACTCGCTGACACCGACGTATTTGCATTCGTCAACGGGCTGGCACGGTCGATGCTAAATCACACATACACACAACAACCACAACAACAATCGCAAACAGCAACAACAACACCGACCAGACAACAACGTTGTTCCTCACCGCCATTCCATCGTCGGGCAACGGACCAACTCTGTCGGCGTACAGCCCCAGGTGCCCTTGCGGTTCGACCGAAAAGAATTCCGCGGTGTCCCCCTGCCCGAGGAGCAATGGAAGCCGACATCAAACGCATCACCAAAAAACAGCAACAGGGACAGCAACAGCAGCAACGAAAACTAGGCGTCGTTGAATGGAATGCTGACGTCATTCGCCTACATCAGGCAGATTAACACCACCACGAGCATCAAACAACCCTGAAACACGGCGATGACGACCGCGTGGCAACCTCACCCAGCCCGGCATGTTTTGGCCAAAAAAACGATGTCCAACGAATGGTTTTCCGAGGAAGCAAGCGTGTTCTGGGCATTATAGGACCGAACACGACAGGTACTTCAACACTACAGACTGCGAAGCCCCCATCCGACGTTGTTCGGTGTAGCAACTATCGCAGGAACCACATATAAGAACACACGGAAAAAACAGTTCATCCTCACCTCAAGGGCTTCGATGGTAGTGGTGGCCACGATGACCCACAACCCCGCGCCCTGTCGCACGTCGAAGGTGACGCCCTTCAGGTGCAGGTCGCCGGGGAGGTCGGAGATAATGACCGTCTCCGTCCTGACCTCGATGACCTTGGGATTCGGTCCGGATGTTGGATGTTTTGAGTGTGGGATGTGGAGTCGACGGATAGACAAGTGAGGGGTTGTGGTCGTGCTACGTTGATTTTCGATCAACTTAAACCTCAACCTTAACCTCTGGTGTATCATAGCATGACTCCTTCACACGAGCATACAACAGCGTGACCTCTAGGCACAAGCGAGCCAACGCTTTCCTCCTCTTTCGGTAGTCTACAACTTCACACGACCACAAACCCACGTCTCGCACCCGCTTCACGTCGCACACGATGTCGCCGGTGATAAACACTCTGCCGTCCAGGGGGGTCCGATCGAGCGGGAGCTCGTCGCAAGAGCCCAGGCCCCTCATCGGCAGCTTGTCCAATTCATCTTCGCCAGGGAATCCTGGAGTCCTGGAAATCACATCCGTGTACGTTTGTCGGACGGGGGTGATGTCGGTAACACCAGCGTTGGCATCACCGTGGACAACGTTGTGGTTGTTATCCATGGCAGAAGACAGGGGCCCCGTGGGAGATTGCGAAGTGCCTCTGTTGTTGTTTGTGTTGTTGTTGTCGTGGTTGTTGTTGTTGTTGTTGTCGCTACCGTTGTCGTAGGTGTTGGTGTCGGTGGGGGCAACATCGACGATGACGGAGGTCTCGCTGAAGCGTAGCGTCGAAACGCCGTAGGTGATGATATCGCCATCGGGAGAACCGCGGATCGTATCGTGTGGGTCGTCCTAGGGTTGTGGAGTAAACATTGTAACATGGCCAACAGCACGCGGGCACACGACGGCAGAAGGGTGGGAAGGGGAGGGCCGGGGGAGGAAGGTGAGCCTTTGGGGAGATTGCAACCAGAGAACAAGGTTCAGTGTGTGTGTGTGAGGGATAGGTTGCGGAACGCGTGATGGAGGGAGCTGAACTGAACATGTCTATTCTACGCGTGAAGGGCGAAGGCCAGGGTACCAAGGTGTATGCATGTGTGAAGCTGCTTGGGTTGGTGTTGGAGCGGTGGGAATGTTAACCCTTGAGTCGCAACGGAGTTGATGCTTGAGCGTTGTCAGGTCCAAACAGGTGCAAGGCACGGCAGCTCCTGGCAAATCAGGTGCGTTCCTGGTTGAAAAGAACTAAACAAGCAGCAATGCTGGCACACGTTAGGTCGGTCTCATAATATCGTGGAGGCAGGTGTTCAGATAGAGACTACGGCTGTCCTGACCACGAGACATGTGGCAACGGGGCCGCTAACAAAGCAACACCGACAACAACAACGACAACGACGACAACAAAAATAACAACAACAAGGACAGCCAACAAGAGCTCACCGTCCTCGTGTTGACCAGATCGTCGAAGCGGTGCTGGTCGCCGCGTAGGTGTAATTCGCCGTCCACGTTGAAGATCTCGGCTGTATCGCCCTAACAAAATTAACCCAGTGATAGTCACAGCAGAGGTTGTACAAGGAGAAAGCAGGGGCGTTGGGAAAAATACATACGACAGGGGAATAGAAGGGGAGGGAGGAAAGCGGGGCAAGCAAAAAAGGACATTTGCGAAACGGATGGACTTCGCGATTGCGGGGACCATCATATCTATCGCCGGTCCAAAAGGAAAACAACACAATGTCCTTGGGATAATTTGACAAGTTGTCGAGACGTTTGCACATGGCAAGAACAAGTCCTGGGGGCGAGGTAATCGTCTCATCTCGACATCGACAAACTTAGGAAGACAAAGGGGAGAGGCCCTCGCGAGCACAGAAAAAAAAAAACAGGAACGGGTGTCAGGGGCGACATCTGACCTCTAATAGATGCCACACCCAGACAAGAAGCATACAAAGACATCCCAGACAAAAAAACAACGCTCAACGGTTACCTGTTCCCTCTCAAAAGTGAGAGCCGGGGCCCGGAACTTCATCTTTTCGCCCTTCCGGACGTTGAAGCGGAGGTTCTTGGTGTAAAGGGTGTTGGCCGCGACGAACAGGACATTGCCGCCTCCCTCTGTGATCTCGATCACCTGCTCCAGCAATGATCCATGGTTGGTGATGGTGATAGAGGTCACCGTATATAGCCTACAAGTATTTTCTTGGTATGGATACAAGCTGATCGGCTGTGCGCTGTGTTCGCGCATTCACCTTTATCAGGACCGGTTGGTCGAAAATCACGTCGGCGGCTTGGCTGCCTATCGGCCTTTTCTACAGAATGGGCTACCTTGTGGTTCTACACTTTCGGCAACAGTAGTATAGTATACAGAGTCGGGCGAGATGCGACACTCGATTGCATGTCCAAGTTCCTTAGCTTTCAAGCACCAAACCCCCAATCACTTTCAGTAAAGCACACGAACACAATGTCGCCTGTCGATTGTAAGCATCAATATGTTCCTTTGGGCCGACTGCCCGATTCAGAGACAAAAGGCTACAGCCAAAGTGTTTTGATGTTGCCACAACCGAACAGACCTCATGCAGTGACATGCACGGCCTGCTACAACACAACAGAGCCTAGCATGCCCGAACCAGGCACACTCGCGCACCTTGGGCTCGGGGCACACAATGTCTGCCGTAACGGACACGATCCCTTCAAAAGGGGTCCGCTCGTTCGGGAGGTCGTCGCAAGACTTCAGGTGCGTGACCAAGTCCAGGCCCCTCGTTTCCAACTCCCGCTGCAGGTGCTCCTCAGCCAGGCCTGCAGAGTGCCCCTGAGAGCCACCGGCCGCCTCGCTGTTGCTGTTGCTGTTACTGTTGCTGTTGTCGTTCTTGTCGGTACTGGGCTCTACGATTACGAACACCGCGGAGTCGGTGTAGTACATGGCCTCATCACGGTGAGTCAGTACGGTGCCACCGGGGTCACCGCGGACCATCCGGTGCAGGTCCTCCTGTTTGTTGAGAGAGGTTCGTTCGTGTATCGCAACGACCAGCGGAAACCGTTTGACGCAAACAGGGGAAGAGCAAGGGGGTGCGGCGGCATGAAAGAAAATCAGAAAAAAAGCAAACGTCAGGTAAACAGCGGCAAGATGGGAACCGAGGAAAACTTTCGTAAGAGGATGTTTCGTGGGAACAGCGGTAGAGCGAACGTCACATTTTGCGGGGGAATCACAAAACATGTGTTGCGTTTTCGCTCAGTCTCAAGTATTTTCTCGACTTGAATGCCTACTGCGGAACCACACGGACGGACATCCCGCAGGCCACGATGACGCCAGTATATACCAAGAACAACACCTAAATCATCACTATAATACCACCGCCACCACCACCACCACCAAATATCGCTGCAATCACTATTACAAGTATAACAAGAACAGCCGAGACAAAAAGCCTACCGGTGTGGCGTCGTCAGGGGCTTCGTAGTCGGGGTCTCCGGCAAGGAACCCCAGAGTCCCGTCCACGTGGAAGATGCCGTCCTTGTTGTCCTTACATAGTGCAGCAGTAACGCACCAACACCAACACCAACACCCACACCCCACAAGAGCAAGGAAGTTACAATATAGAGAATGAACCCAAACGGAGAGAGGGAGGCGAAGGAAATTGCGTTGGGCAACGAAGGCTGTTTTGCCGTGTTCTGAAGGGGTAGTGGGGAGCTGCAAGTCAGGCCAAACAACTCAGTGTGTAGGTGTTTTCGTGGAGAACAAAAAAAAAAAAAAATGTCGCGCCCCCTCTACAGCTAGTACTGCTGTGGTCGTATTGGAAGCCCCATGCTAATGATCGGCTGGGCCTCGACAGAGTGCAAACAAAACTGAAACCATGTGGCTCATGGACAATTGGCTGCCGGCTGTACGTATGCCATACATACCTCATTGCTTTCGAAGACGAAAGCAGCCGCGCCGAAGTCGACCCTGGTTCCCTTGGGAACTTCGAAGATGACGCCCTTGATCCACATGATGGTCTCTGCAACGATGTAGACGTCGCCGTAGCCCTGGTCCACCTCGATGATCTGTTGTTGGCAACAACACAATCATTGTTCGCTTTTACACGTGAACGTGTCTACTGAGCTTGGTTGTCAGGGCTCTGCGTGAGACAGAGACAGATGGGAGAGAGAGAGAGAGGGAGTGGCCGTAGCGTCTGCTGGTTGTTGTGCAGTGGCGCAATGCGGCGAAGGCGGCGCAATCCAGACCACGGAGCCCAGTGGATCATTCACCACCTCCCTTCTCTTTTTCATTCCAATCTGCGAAACCACAGAAAGTTACCGTTGGTCCGAATCCACAATCCGTCCGTACAGATGCCAATCTTCGTTGCGTCGCGCAAAGGCGAGGGCGAGCAAAGAACGGAGTGCGTGGAACCGCCCTTTTCCTGGAGAGGTGGCTTTGTTGTGGGGTGCGGCGCGCGCCGCGAGTGCGCTGAGCGCTACAGTTTGCCAAGAACCGAGTTTACGATCCAACACAACGGCATAATGATGTTACAGCAGCATCCAGAAGAGCCGCAGCACCTCTGATCTGCGGTATACAAATTATGCCAAAGTGTGCACCCCGAGCTTGTTGTCTCCCCTGCGGTGCTTACAGTACATCGCCTATGAGCAACAATTTTACGGGAGAAAACTACCCGAATGCCGAAAACCTGAAGAGAACAGGGGGACATGATGAACAAAAATGAAGCTGCCGTCATTTCACCACTGATCTGATGGGTACATGTATGTACCAAGCGACTCTCTACAGCGTTATTTCCGATCCTTTCCGATCCCATGGTGTGGCAGCGCCATACAAAATCATGTACGCCGAATTGCGCCTGTTTGTTTCTTGTACTGCTGTACTCTCATCAATACATAAGATGAGCAAAGAAGGTAGAGAGAGCGAAGGATGTGGCAATCGATCAACGTTCCCATCACTGACGGCGAAATCATGCATGGTGGAAGCGTGGATCGCATCGCGGGCGGTTGGCTGTGAGCCTGCCAGAGATCTCCGCGCGTACTTTCGGGGTTCATGAAGAGGCGGTTCGGTGCCAGGGGGTAAATATAAAGCCCGACACCTCGACAAGTCGCAACGAACTCAGAAGCACGGCTGGAGAAAGAGACATGCACACACGCAGAAGATGCAGGCAACGGAAAAAAATCATGGCACTTTTTTGCCGCTGCGACTCTCACACACCTTGGTCTCAGCGCACATGATGTTGCCCATAAGGGCAACGGAGCCGCGGACGAGTGTCCTGTCCATTGTGAGATCGTCGCAGCTGTAGATGTAGGTGGTGGTGTCCTCCGACGTTGGCTCCCCCCCGTCTTGGGTAGGGGTGTTAGCGGCGGCTGAGGTGATGAGCACCACAAGCACGACCAGCAGCCGAAGAAGGGTCTTCGCCACCGTGACGAGGCCTGGAGGGCGGCAGCCTCGCCGAGGCGAGGAGATGACAGTGGTCATCATGGTGCGGTGTTGTCGGTGTTCTGGTTGCTTCTATCAATCTTCTTGCTTTCGGTGGAGAGCGAAAGAGAGGAGTGAGAGAGGCAAGGCAGTGTGTACGGGTGGAGCAACAGCATCGGAGGAACGTGCAAGGGGTGGGATCACAACGTGGAATCAATTTTCATTCTTGCATAAAATAATTTGACCCTTAGGCAAATTCGCTGTGGTTCCCAGACCCAAAATCCCCGTTGTGCGCACCGGTCGTGCGCCTCCGACAGATGGGGCAGGTGCGGCAGATATGAGAAACGGGAAGCCCAGTATGGTTTGTCTCTTCCAGCAAAGCTGTGGTAATCTTCGAAGGATTCAACACGGACGGGCGCAGTAGGCCGCTCCGCATTCACCCGTTCACCCGCTAAGTTTAGCTTCGTATGGCCGGATAATCTATGATTTCTTACGTTGCTTCACGTTGCTTCACGTGCATGACTTACATAGTGTACGTCATGCGGACCCCATCTATCTTTCGTCTTACCGGCTTTTTTTTCCGTTCATATTTGTCTCGAATACATCAACGAACCTCCTACCCGTTCAGGTTGATATATACTGCATGTGATGTGCTATGTGTAAAGAATCGACCGAGCTGTCGGAATGTTTGTCGTCGCAGATCCGAACGTCGTGTAATGAAGCCACGATAACTATCTCAGTCCATCAGAATCGGATATCACGCTGTGGACATCGACTGCTACCACTGTTGGCTACTGTATCGTCGTGGAATCATGCATGACATCGATCGCATCGAGTAATTTCCTGCAAAACAGTGACTGCCATGCGGCAGGACGTCAACACCTCTCTTCACCCGGGCATCAGATTCGACCCATTTCTGTAGTCGTTGTTGTTGTATTCACAATCTGATATCAGCAGCTAAATAGTGTGAAAAGAAAGCATACTAACCTTACCTGAGCGCCTGCCATTCTGGCTCATTTGACTTGATTTCAAAGGGTCGTGGAGGTAGACTGCATGATATGTATGTGTACGGCAGCCCCTACTGCCACCCTGTACAAGAATCAACGGCTTATGTTTTTCCCGATGCCTCCCGACTCTTTCCGACTGGTCTTGTGTGTCTCGTGTGAATTGTTGGTGCTCTTAAGTTTGTTCAAAATCAGTCAAAACCAGCCCGTATTGATATTTCGCGCTGGACTCAGTGTTGATGTTGCCGCCAAAACGCCCGAAGATCAGCTGCTGCTGAGGTAGATATGTATATACGGGCCGTGCTGACATCCAACAACAACGTGCGTTTCATGCACCAAACATGAGTTGTGCAGCAACTACTCCATGGTCTCACGCAATATCAACATCGCCACCCACAACCACAACAACAACAACAACAACAACAACAATAAGCGGGTCGAACAAGCTTCCCCACACACCGAGACGGAATGGACTCGGCAAGCCACGACGGGTGCACCGGGCATGCTCAGATGCTCAGTCTCGAACGTTTTCCTCGTCCGGGCAAGGCTCGCTACAAGGTCAAGACAAAACTCACAACTGCATGAGCGAGATCGTGCTAGCGTTCAGGAAAAACAAATACAAAAAAAAATGCCGTCCGGGGTCGGTGTACCCCAAACCTCACGGAGCGGAAAACATCGAGTGTTAAGCGAGCGTTTGGCGTTAACCCACATTCACAAACAGCAAGCGAAACGGTATGCAACAAATACTTGATACGAAAAGATATAAATTCCAACAAGTACACCGATTTCTGCGTGGAACAGTGAACAAAATGCGAGCGAGTGCACAAGTACAGCAAAGAGCTCGCAGGAGGCGGCAAAAGAAGCGCTTCATGACCACGGCACGGGGACGAAGGTACACAGCAGCGTATCATTGCCCTCGTCTATAGCAGACACCAAGATAAAAAAAGGCAGCCAACACCACCGATGCCGCACCCGGGGGCGAAATCTTCAACAAACACGGGCTATGCCTACAGCAACGACAGTGATAGCTCCAACAAAGTGGCAGCAAAGACAATCGTTCGAATGTACAACAAACCGTCCTGATCTGATCCCGCGAGCCGTACTCCGTGCACGCCCCCGCCGCGGCATATGCTTCCGTCCACCCTGAGGCTCGCCGCGATACGATACGTTGTCGAGAATCGACAGGGGCCCTCTTCACTCACTCCGAGCGCCGCAGCAAAATATTATCTCGGCGTACAGGACACGCAAACCCCTCAAGGTTGAAAAAAGAAGTCAGGGATTTTCACATCATATTGTATCTTTTGTCGTATGTAACAAATAAATGCAGGTGGCTCTGTTTGCTCTAGAGCCGAAACCAACCCAACGATTTCGACAACCAACGCAACACACTGAAGAAAGACAAAAACAAACAGCGTGCTGTAGGCACTCACAGCCCCCCCAACAACAGGACCGAATCAGTCCATCCATCTTGAGTCATGCCGGCTATAGATCGCCGCCATGCGCACGTTCGTGTGCGTCCCGGACTCGACAGGCAAGCCTTCCCAAAAGTCTTCCAGCAGAAGCTCGGCGATGTTCTTTGTCTTGGGACGGACAGGCTCCGTGAATAGGAACAGCACCAACGCCGCCAAACGTATACCTGGGGGGGGGGGGGGGGGGGCGCGTTATGGTCAGGGTCTTGCTAGCCACATCCGATTCGAACGGTTGGGTAGACGTTGCTGCTGGAGTGATACATGGCACCAGTCTTTCAAATATCTCCTCACGTACCAAGCCGCACAACGGCAACGTCAGGCAACTGTCCAAACAGGTAGAGTGAGTTTGGGATTTCGGGAATGGAAATGATGGAGGCGAGGAAGGAAATGAAAAAACGGACCACCACAATCGCGCCGAAACGCGAAAAACAACAAACAAATGATACCAACAACAGGAGTTGTCTACATAGAATACCGTGGCCATGATCATCGAGCTTGGCTTTACAGTATTTCGTTGTCTGTCTTCCTGTATGCAGAAGAATATTACTTTCTGCTCCGCTTCAGCAAATAATAGATAGTACTCCAACATCAGAATGAAGCGCACGTACCTCGCTGATACGATCGCGAGCCGCCGCCCCGTGCAGTGGCCATCCTCGAAGACGCCGCCGAGCGTTGAACTCCCGGCGCCGTACCACCGGCGGTTGCGGCGGCGAACGGCAAGGGCTTAGGCCGCTGCCGTCTTGAGCCCGGCACGGGGGACGTGGACCTCGATCGCCGGCTGCCGTCGCCTTCGGCGGCCAATCTCCCGCTCGAGCTGCAACGAGGAACATTTACTGTCAAGGCACCGAGTTGTGGGGAGATTTCGAGCCGGGGTGTGCTATTAGCAGGGTGGTGGTGGTGGGGGGGGGTGTACTCATAGTCGTGCATGCCGTAGTCATTAGACCATTGACCTCGGGGGGGGGGGGGGGGTGTACTCATAGTCGTGCATGCCGTAGTCGTTTGACCATTGACCTCGCATCCCTACAAAGCCGGGACGGAGCACGCCGGGTTCTCACCGGACCAGGCTCTCACATCACCAAGCGCGAAGCGCCGTAAGGTATTTGGCGAGGTCATTTCAGAGGGAAGGGAGCGTTTATAATTATTGACGAAACAATTGACATCGGCGAGCGACGGATGGGCCAGCCAACCTCACGCATCGATGCATCCATGCATGCCCGGGTAAGACCCGGTGGTGACGAGGTTCAATAATCGAACTCGGATTGGTCGAACGCCAAAAACAATATAGCCTTGGTCTGGGTTTCAGCAGAGCTCACTTTTGACATTGTTGAAGGGACACTTTCAAGATCAATTATCAAAACAATTCTCTGATAGTAATCTCGTATTTTTCGATTTGGGATTTCCCGACATCGGTATCGAACATGGCCTAGGTTCCCCACATGTACGCGTACAGCAGGCGATGGTGCCCGTTCCCGATCGAAGAATGGAAGGAAGAAGATGCTTGGATACGACGACGACGATCAAACCACAAACCAAAATCCTATTCCTCGCAGCATCGAGCCAAACATACACACACACACACACACATCGCACGCACTGTCCACATTTGGACGTATTCGTTTTTCATTCACACGGGAAAGCGAGGGAGACGGGAGAGACAGAGAGGAATACACGATCATGATATATATACACAGAGGACAGACAGAGGGAAGGAAAGCTCACTGCTTCTCATCGAGACCGCCAGAGGGCGCGAGACGATCTAACCGCAGACGAAATCGGCCTTTCTTCGTTTTTTTTCTTCCTGGACTTCATACCACCAACAAGCCGAGCGGAAAGGAGGGTCTCGGAAAACGCGTTCACTTAGCAGAGAGGTCGTAAACAAGATGAACGAAGTAAGGACAAACTCAGTCGTCAGCTCACCGTAGATGTACTCGACCTCGGTGAGCCGCGCCAGGGGTGTCGCGTAACGGACGAGGTCGTGGTAGGGTCACCAAGAGCAGCCCGGTCATCACCGACAGGCTCCGCACGGGGTTTTTCCGTTGCAGCAGATCCTGGTACGCACGCAAACACTTGATTAGAAACGGTTCGCGTTTTTCATTCCGCTACAAAACTGATGTCTTATTTTCTTTCGTCAGTCGGTTGGTGCAGTCGATGCTCAAAAAGAAAAAAAAACACAAACACAGCAGTACAGGAGGGAGGAACGGGGAGAGGGGTGTCAGAGGCAGCGCAGGCGTGGCGGGCATGGTCATTCGGACTTCCCGTGACCGCGCTCGTCCATCGTCCTCCCCCCCGCCCCCCGCCCCTGATTTCATCCCACCATGCATTCGTACGCACGGTAGGCGATGCGGCACGTTGGCGAGAGCGTGTTTGTTTTGTGCTTCTAAAAGCAAAAATAGTGCGCCTCTATCCACAGATGAAAAGGCCAAGAAAAAATGGCAATGAGTCCAAAGTGTCAACCGGCATCTCGAGCACTGTTGTTGCAATTCTTCGTGCCTGGATCCTCTCTGCAGCCCGTTCGCCCCAGCGTTGCAGGCGGATTCCGTATTCATTTCCAGGCCAAGCAGCCAAGAAAGGAGCTAGCGGTCATGGACACCCGGACTTAGGGATCCATTCTCCCCTCAGGGACAAGGACGCGACCCAACCTCGACACACCCTGCCTATTTCTCTCATTCCTACCTAGGTCATGCACTCCATGAAGCCTCAGGCAATGCCGTGTGTAGCAGCTTCGGGGGTAGAGCCGGTGTTGACTCAGCCCCCCATCGCGAGCTACAACAGACGGCTGAGCTGCGAGCCAGCCACAAGCGCATCTCCAACCGTGATACGCGTATGTCACGAGGAGGGGGGGTGAATATCCTAGAACGAACGCTCCGTATGCCTAAACCACAACACGAAACCGATCATATTCATCATGGAGGACTTTCTCTTTCATGCCTATCCACATGGCCGGTCTATGCAAAATATGTAGTTTCTGGGTTCCGAAAGCTGACCGGTGCTCTGCACAATAACGCTGCCGCGTCTTGATCCTCTTTGTCAGCGTGGCATCAACGGTCCTACCTCCTTTGCCGATGGGGTTCACACAAGCAAGTGCACAATCATACCAGCGCCAAGAACGGTCGTTAGCGCCAGCGCTACCACACCACACCACATCATCCCATGGCCAACACACCGGAACAGAAACCATAACGCAGGCGCCACCGATGCGCGAAAGAAAGTAGACAGCCCAAGGGAAAAACCGTGCTCCAGGGAGAACCCGGATTTCAGCCCATGGACATGTTCAAGTGTGGGGCGTGGACGACTTGCACTGCTGCAGAAAAAAAAAAAAAAGTCAGGCATTTTCGCGTATGTATTTCGAAATCGTGTTGCGCTTCCTCGAGCCGCCGTCTACGTCGTAGTGTCGATGTGCTCTCGTGTGAGACCCACTCTTTCCAACAATTGAAGCGGCCAGTACCCCCAACAAACGGTTGCCCTCTCCCCGAACTGCCTGTTTTTCGCAGGAGAAGGCATGCGACACAGGCGCCGCCTGAGAAAGAGCCGGATGTCACCTGCCATGCAGTAGACTACAGTATACGCCTCCGCGGGCGGCCTCGCTGCCCCGCCCTCCTCGCTTCTTCAGCCTGCATCCCACTCAACCCGCCAGGTGCGTCAACCCTTTCGTAGCCGAGGTTTCACCGAACCTACGCCCTACGACCATCCAGAGTTCTGGAGCATCATTCCAGTTCCATGCCATTTCTGTGAAACGACCGGGCGACAGACCGCCGTGGCTGATTGTCATGACGCCTGGACTGTCGAAAAGCTGCACGCCTGCTGGTGGAAAAAAGGGGACAGAAACCCTGCATCCCCGCGGCGTCACTTTTTACTTTTTACTTTTTCCGACACGAAAAGCAAAAGTTCCATTTTTCCGAAGGTCTGGATGTAAATGGCTGAAGAAAAAGTAGAGGGAGAGAGGCGGCACATTAGGACGGTTGCCATCAGATTGGCATTGATAGAAGAGGGTGCACATTGGGGGGTACCCATAACGCGGGAGCAGCCACAACTTGTAGATTTGTTTCTCCGCGTCTTCTGGTGTGCTACTGTAAGTATAGTACAGCAGTGTAGCGCCCGTCGTTCAGAACCTCCAGGGGGTACAGCTGTGTACAGCAGGTTGGGCCGCTGCAAAAAGCTTTACGTAGTGTTGTAGGAGTCCTTGCCAGGGCTCGATGATTCGGTTCTCAACTTCTTAATTTCTTGAACGAAGCTGGGCAGGAAGTTCTAGACTATACATGTAGTGCAGGAACTACTGGTGTAGTCTACGGCAGTCACTCAGCAGTACCTCCGGCTTCTCCGTACCTGACAGTACTTCGGTTGACAGGACGGACAACGCCAACAGATACGTTTCCAGACTTGAGTCCAACTGTCAATAGAAATACAACAGACGTGGGAACAGGGTGCAGAGGGTGTGCTGGATGCCTGACGGAGGCGTCCAACGTTACCACACACAATGCTACTACAATACACCCAGCTGAATGCTGTGACCAACTTCACAAGTTACAAATCACCGAACAGAGATAATTGAAACCCTGCATAGTCTATATATGTGACAGCGGAGCCCCCGATGACCGCTGGCTTCAGGTTGGCATGCTGTGGGCAGGATGAATGACTCAGTACGGGGATGGCAACGCAGAAGGGGGTTATGTTCGTTGGATAGCTTCTACAACAGTGTGTGCCGAACGTGCGGTAACCAACAGACACACGGCACATTGCCACGGCAAGACGGCAGGCACAACGTCATAGCTGTGTGTTCAGCGTTGACCAATGTTGTTGAATCTCTTTCTAACATATGATTCTCTCGCCTCGTTTCTCTTGGCCTCTCACGTATTCAAGAATGAAAGGAAGGTGGACTCACCGCAGGACAGAGTCAATGGGGTGGCTCCTCCTCGTACCACCGGCCTTCATTTCCTCATCGCCCCTACCAACAGCCCTCTCCTCTATCACCGACACCAGACGCGGAGAGGGGGATACGCGGACAGCTCTATGAGGCAGGGACCCTTGTTCAGATTACTGCTCGTGTGGTGCGACCCGTGCGGCCGAGATTCGGAGCAGGCTCGAAGAGCGAAGTCAAGCTCGTTTCCGCTTGGTACATACATGTCATCCTCGACGATGTAGATATCGTGTTTACAGTCATTTACTCAATGGTATCGTGAACTCTTCTACCACAATATATGTCCTTTATTCTCCTCTTCACCACAATCCACGTAAAGCTGTGCGTGAGCAAGAGCAGTGCTGTAGTCCTTGGTTGAACTTTCCTTGCATGCACACCATGCAGCCGGAGTCGCCAGGCCCAAGTGCAACCCGCAAAATTGCACAGTGAATACAAGAGCATGACTCGGGAAAACTCCTTGAATTGTGCATGACGTCGTAAGACGACATCTGAAACGACATACATCAACTTCTTCAAAGCAACAAACCATCACATTACCTCCTCCAAATAATAAAAATTGCGCGTTTGCCCACATCGCCGGCAGGCGGACGAGTGAGCCCGACCTCGAATGGAAGACATTCACTTTTCATGTATGAACCGTATAGCGACATTGTGTGAGGACATATGCGTATGTGACCCTGATAGACAGCCTCTCGACGGTCACTTGCCAACAAGAAATGAATGAATGAATCATATATAGCTCGCTGTGTTTCACTGTCTATTCAAACCAAAGACGGGAAAGGACGTAGAATAGGGCGCGTGTTGAACTGTAGTTCTTTTGTGTGTACCAGTCGGGTTCTGTAACAAGTGACATTTACCTGCCCACTTATCTATGCAAACGACCAACGTAGATAGAAGGGGAGACGACAGTCAGAATGAAAGCAGGTCGACAGCTGGTACAAAAGAGGTGAACAATTCCCGAAACGAGTTCACAGCGAACCATATCAGACGCGAGACATATTCCGGCTCGAATTTCTCGGCAAAGGGAATGAACCTGTCATGCTCTGGCCTATTTCAGCGGGCTAGACTGGTCTACGCAACTGATTCACTGGAAATGAGCTCATCTTGAGTGAAACGAGTGCCGAAACTGTGAATCCATACAACGGGAAAACGGGGGGCATGTCCGGTTTCGCTTTCATCGGCTAGTACCTTCTAGGCACGTCTTTGTGGTCCAGATGGAGTGAGAAGTGATGGTCGCAAGCGCTCGCGACAAGCGGTACATGGTTTTGGTAGCCAAAATATATTTATGATGTAGCATGAAAGTGCCCGAGATCACGCGTACCCCGGCCTAGTACAGCAGCGCGATAGAGCTCCCGTTGTTATTAGGCGTCTCTCAGCCAAACCCGGTAACCGAGCACACATTGTTATTCGAGTACTCTTAGCGCATGAAAAATGGTGGGATGAACGATGATAATGAGGTTGACTTGTATTGCGTGGCAAGTTGTTGTCAAGCCTTTCTCGCACCGGCATGCATTGATCGTCACGAAGCAACCACCGTATGAATCAGCGACGACGAATTCCCACACACCAGCGTCGGTATTCTCGATGTGGACTACTGTAGTTCGTTTGGAAGCCGTAGTGCAATAAACGCAAAATACAACACATTCCGTGTGTGGTGTCCACCTGCAGGCACGTCGCGTGTTGGTTTGTGAACGGATGGATGCTGCGCATGGTTGAGTGCCTGCCGCAGGGAGTGAAAACCACTGTCTGCCGGCTCGGGTGTCTGAATCGATCCAATGATGTTGTCCAAAATGCCCGGGATGCTGTCCTGGCGGGGCATGTAACTCGGGGTGGGTTCGTTATGCTTCAAAAGGAAAGTCGTCACACTCCGCTGCATCATACCGCACTATTCGCAAGGAACAATCGTACCGTTTGCCATCTAGCAAGAAAACAGAACACAACAACGAGCTGGAACATCGTCATGAAACACCTTCCCCCAAGGTGCCATGACATCACGGGACTACACTCTTGGCAAGCACAACCCACCGTGTGACCTACTGTCTACCAAACCCTTACCGCTACAGCCATTCCTGCATGGCAACATATGCTTGACGGTCAAGCCATTGTGCGCAGAAGCATACCTCCCAGGAAAGGGGGAGAGGGAAAGGAAACAAAACCCTACTATCGTTGGTGCACTCAAGAGCACAAACCCGAGTGACTGCACTATCCATCTAGTTGCTGAAAAGGACGAAGCTCAGCACCACACTACATGTTGCGAGCGAATATTGGGATTATCCCCAACAAAACAAACCGCGATCTCCCAGGAGTGAAATCGCTTCCATTCCGCGGCCATGGCAACAACGCGCAAGCGCCAATCAACGCTCGAATAGCAAACCAGGAAAAAAAACTCCTAGACTCACAGCAAGGCACAATACACACCGATCATCAGAGCGTTACCTGCACCATGACTTCACCAGGGCCCCCAACGCCCACGTAGGGCAGACGGGTCATAGACGGGATACACAGTAGTCTATGCTAACAGCTAAAAGCAAACAATCCTCGAACCACAGCAGTCACGACCGTTGCTCGATCGCTGTGTACATGTGTTCACAGGAGGACTACAGCAAGAAAACGGTAAAGAAATTTCAACTGCTACCCACGGTTTCCTCTTTCCACCGGTATGGCGGCACACATACACCGATTCTGTATCTCTGCACAATGAGACCAAGGGAAAATAATTGAAGGACGGCGCGTACAAAAGGAACGATAGCGGGCTATTTTCACTTCACGTACCACCCCCACACGAACACCCCTTCTAGTCGGACCTGAAACCCGTTTTCCACCACGTGGAGCGAGTATAAGGTGGACCGGACGGCGCCCTTGTTGTCGTCTCTGTTGTCGTCGTCTCTGGCGTTGTTTTCTCTGGTGTTGCTGTCGTTGTCAATGTCGTTCTTATCGCGCTTCCCTCGGCGGCCGAGACGTCGGAAGATTCCCTTCACCTTCTTCGCCGGCCTGGAATTGCCGAGCTTCTTCACCCACCCGACCTTGCGGTTCGGGTTTCGCTTTTGGACCACGACTCGGTCCCCGACGGCCACCAGCTGGGGAAGTAACGATGCAGCGGAGCAAAGACGGTCGGGTTGGGTACACATACACGGACTCGGCAAGAGGGTAGGGTGGTTACTGGCGATGGAAATAAGTTTGGATCGGTCAATAACCAGAATCAAACACACACTTTCAGGACAGCGGTGAGCTTGGGCACTACGTAGACTCCACCATCGTCCAAGAACCGCGCTCGTGGGAACCTCAGCTAGAATAAGGAAGGCCGCACGAAATGAATCAAGACGACTCGCGGCTAGTACTTACAGTAGAGGGTCCAGGCTACACGAACACATACTTACATTGTTTTTCCCACCGACGGACGACTTAGACCCCGATATGGGCTCCCTCATCTCACTCATTGCACCTTCCAACAACCTTGTTCGATGTCTTCTGTCTTCTGTCTATTCTGCTAAGTGAGTGCGTGCATGCAACTCACCACGTCTCCCATGTCGGTGACCTTGAGGACGACGTCGTCCCCCCAGTACCCCTCCGGTGTGCTGGAGATGGCCGTCGGCATGTTCACCGATCCCTCGCGGCTGCTGCTGCTGCTCTCGTCGCCACCGGTGTTGCTGCTGCTCTTGTCGCCGCCGCTGGTGCTGGAGGCGGAGATGTCTCGGTCGGCGGGGTCGTTTATGTTTCCGTCCTGCTTCTCGCCGGTCGGTGGAACGCAGGAGTACCCTGCTGTCGAAAGGCAAGTTTGTCGGGAACGGTCTAGTATTGAAAATGTCATTGTGGAAAACAAAAACATAACTCGAATCGTGGGTGATGGTTTCTTTGTCACGAATGCCTCCCCTCTCCCCCCGAAAGGACCTCCCTACCCCCCTCCATTGAAGAAAAGACCAATACAACAGGCAGTTGTCAATCCATCCAACCACTCCCCCGCTCTCACGCTCCCCCCCAAAAAAAGAAATCGAAGTTTCTGGGGATGGAGGGTTTGGTACAGATTCATTCAACACACGGAATGTATTTAAGGGCCGACGCACCTTCAGCCGTGCTCTCGTCGTCTCTCCCCCGGAGGTCACCACCGTCGCCGTCCCCCTGGCCTTGAGCCGCTGCCGGCGAGTCTGGCCGCAGCGGCGGCGACCTCTCCTTCTCCGCCTCCTCCTTCGCCTTACCCAAGTCCGACTGCTGCTGCTGCTGCTGCTGCTGCTGCTGCTGCTTCTTCTTCTTGCGAGTGAGCCTGTCGTCGTGGGAGCGCATGGCCTGCACCACGTCGGGTGAGGCAAGAACCTTCAGGTCCAAGCCTCGGTCCTCGCCGTTGTAGTCCGGGCTAAGGCCGGCCAAGATGTCCACCGAACTCTGAGGAGCTCGAGAGCTCCAGCTGTTGAACGCCTCCATCACTTCTCGGCGCAATCCCTGGTAACGTGCGATGTTCGCGAGCACGAGGCTTCCATCGGAACCCACGGTCATCACATGCCGGCCGTTGAGGCTTGTCATTCTTGACGGGAACCGCAGCTCCTCGCCCGCCTTAACATCAACGAGTGAGAACGAGTGAGAACGAGTGAGGGAGAAGATCAGACAATCCGAGTGTATGTGTCAAGGCGACAGACACAACAGCCCAACGTGGACGGTAGCATGCAGTTACCATTTCGGCTGACGAGAGACCGGAAAAACGCGCCAACATCAACGGAAAGTCCATTCAATAGGGCGCAATCCTCAAGATATTTCTCAAGAATCTGGGACAGCAGGAATTCTAGACCACCCTGGTGCTTATCACAAAACGGTCGCGCTATCAAAAAGGCCAGAAAAAAAAACAGGTAAAACAGGCGGAGAGGGGAGGGACGCACAACAAAAACACAACAATCAAGGATAAACAAAGACTTGAATGCCGAGAACAATATAAACAAGTGTTTGAGACAGAAACAGCCCTTGCTCATGTTCCCGCCACCGCAGCAGTACACTTCTGGCACGAAAGTATAGGTCGATCGATAGCTGTAGCTTCAAACAGCCCCCCACCCTGGAATACTACCTTGCTCCTTTCCCAAAGTGGCAACCTCGTCGAAACCCATACAAGATAAACTGATCGCAACCTCCCTCATGTTAATGGGGAGGTTGCGGTAGTAAGCTGAACCCCCAACGACGAAAAAGGTCCTGTAAACGGCAAGGATGCAAGAATGCGATTCTGTCACTCTCGGTTTCATTTTGGGCCCCTGGGGAACGACAACTCCAACTCCGGCATTAGTGTTGTGTTCTTGGGTCAAGCTCAGAAAGTCCTACAGCCCCGAAAGCCATTCTCAGCACCTAACGCGTCATTGGTTGGCATACCATGAGATACGTCGGCGTCAGTTTCAGCCGCTCCTCGAAGGTGTGCTTGGCATATCGCTCCGGGGAGAAGGGCGACAGATCATCCCCATAGGGTGGGGAACCAGCAGCTTCGGAAGCGCCCTGGTCGCCATCCTCCTGCTGCCGGTGCTGCCGGTGCTGCTGGTGCTGCTGGAGCTGCTGCAGCCGCTGCTGGTACTGTTGTTCGAGCCACAGCCGGCGAATACGTTGGATCTGGATCCACACGAGATCCCTCGCAACGGGCGTCTTGGCGACCTTCATGCTGGAGGCCGTGTAGCGGACCTCGCCCCCAAAGTAGACCTCGCCACCCTTCCTGACGTTCACCAGCGAGTGGGCATCCTTCTGTGGCGGTGGTTTGGTTCGTGGGAGAGACGAAGACAGGGCGGGGGAAGAGAAAAACAGACACAGAGAGAGAGGGAGGGGGAGGGAGGCAAGAAGGATTAGCAACGGGGTTCTGTTTTGTTTGGCCACGGGTGGCTCTAATTCGCTTTACCTGTACAATAGGTTTTGTGCAGATGGGGAAAATCTTGGCCGAATCGAACGCACTTCGACGACATCTGGATTGCCACCTTGCAATTTCGAAGAATGATTAGCTGCAGAGAATTGTTGCCGGCTTTGCCTTGCCCCGAAAACAAAAACAAAAACAGTGTCACGAGCGACGATCGTTCTCCGCACAAGAAAAAAAAGTTTGTCGTCGAACAAAAAGTGTTACGCTGCCAGTGAAAATAAAGTCGGCTGTTGTCGTTGTTGGCGTTGTTGATCACGATGAAGGCTTGAAAGAGAGCTGACGTTTCGTGCAAAGGAAGAATGATAGCATAGAGACAGCCTCCGTGTCTTTAAAGCAGGTTTTCAAGATAGGCGGGGGCGTTCGGGAGGAGGGGTTTATCTGGCAAAGGATCCGTGTGGCATCAATGCAAGCGAGGGGTGACTTGCGCCTTCCCTAGGCTTGGCTGCGGGACAAAATGCAAAGAACATCAACCAGCGACATGCACGGGTATCAGAAATAGTGTCGGCGTCGTGGCTGCCTGCTGAACCGAGTGCCGAAGGGACAGCATGAACGGTGGGGGGGTACGAGACTATAGCTAGCGCGGCCTGTTGACTCCATTGATCCCGCTACGCGCTCGGGTGTAATTAGGAAAGTAACGACCATGCCGTAGCCACAACGGCAACGACAACAACAGAATCATCTCCCACCTTCATCCCGTTCTCCGACAACGGGACCCACGCAGTGGGATGCAGGCCCACATACCCTTCTGGCTCGATAGTGAAGATCTCGCTCGAGTCTCCCTGCACCGCGGTGACAACAACAACAACAACAACAACAACAACAGAGCCAAAAACAAGAAAGTAGAGGCGTCGCATCATCTGTGATGTCACAATAACAACATCGGCATCGCCATGGTTGCCACCATCGCCGCCGCCAGTAAGAAAACCACCTGTAGCAGCAACATCATCAACACTATGTTCATCTAGGCGCTCGCTCGAGTGACAGCCAAGAGTTGCGACCACTGTCCAGGAAACCGCGATTGCTTTGGCAGTGTTTCTTGCCGCCCCAAGACCATGTCTGTTTGCGCGACGTTTGGAGCCGCTCCCGCGCTTCCGTTATTTCGAGGTCGAGAGAAAGTCGCTGCCACCCCACTACCTCTCCCTGCTCCCAAGTTATGTTCGTCTTGGTCACACACCGCAGCCCAACCGACACAGACAGACAAGGCGCAGACATACACGCGTACCTCGAGGTTCTCGGCGAGCATGGTCGAGAAGGCAAACCTCAGCGTGGCCTTCTCGTGCACGTGAAAGTGCACGCCCTTGAAGTGGAGCGGGTTCCGGTTGGACACGATGACAGCTTTGTCGGTAACTTCGATCGTCTGCGTGTTGGTTTTCAGTGGGCAGCAGCGGAAAAAGGAGAGACAATAGAAGAACAGGGCAATCAGACAACGGGGTGTTGGTAACACAAGGACAATGATTCTAGGTGTTGCTACTGCTGTTGTGGTCATCACATCAAACTGAGGCACAAAATAAACATGAAAATACAATGCTGGGGGTCATGAGCCATCTGTCAAACATATTTCGATATCATGCACACAGTACTGCCGTGACTCTACAACTTTCTGTGGCATGTGCAGATACAACCACGGAACGGGGAACACAGTGGGAGAGCAGGATTAGGATAGAGGGGGGCGGGGGGGGGGGGGCGAAAAACACGTGAACGAAAAAAAACACTACAATAAATCGACCCCCGCCCTCCCCCGCTGAACCTCGCACAAGA